TGAGAGTAAAGAAAAAATACAATTACATCAAAAATAACTTAAACCACTAGCTGTATCGACAAAGGTTATTGTGGTCGACTTTTAAATGACTACAAATTCTTTGCAGCTCTTCCCATCGAGAGGTGGAGCCTTTTCTCACCCCTTAAACATAAGCTGGCCTTATCTAGCAACAAAACAAATACGATGTGACTTCTAAGTCTAGTCTCCAGATGGCCTTGCAGCTTTTGCTCTCATTCTCCTAGAAGTATTCAACACTAAGTGAAGAAGCCTGAGCTCACTTGGAGCCAAGAGGCTCAGAAGATAACCAGCACTTCCCATTAGACATGTGAATGTGGTGGTCAAAGATCACCAGCCCTACTTAAGCCACCAAATGACTGACCTCAGGTAAGGCCAACAGAAGAACTGCCAGGCAGAGCCCAGCCCAAATTACTGACTCAGAACTGTGAGCAAATAAAACTGCTGCTGGTTTAAGGCACTAAGTTGTGGGTTTATATAGTAATAGCTAACTGGTAAAATAAGTGAGAGGAAAATATAGAAATAAACCAAGGATTTGATTCTTATTTCCCTAGGAAAAAAAAAAGCTCAATGTCACCTGGTAAAAGCATACATTAATTACACAGACAATTCACATGCTTTTATTAAAATCATATTGTTGTTAGGTAAAGTAAAACCAAAAAATATTGGTTGAATTCAATCATTTTAATTTGAAAGGAAAGAAAGTTTAAAATCTAAAACACAACATAAATAAACTAAAAATAAACAAGATAAACGAAGGTAAATTTACAGGGAGAGTACTACAAAAGCACATCACTAAAAATATTACATACAAAAAGTAACTGGATCCTAGGATGTGTTAGAAGACCTCTTCAAATCTAAATAAATGTCAAAGTCTTCACTTTGTTGTTGTTGTTGTTTTAAGTTTACTTATTTATTTCCCGAGTGAGAGAGACACAGTATTCCCAAAAGAGTTCTTGACACCACAATCCACCCCCAGCCCTAGCCAGCCACGAATCATGGCTACACATGCACCTGGTCTACTCAGGGAGATCTCTGGGTGCAAACTCGAGACCTTCTACACAGGTCAGTCTTAACATTTTACTAATTACATTTAATATAACTGTTGATATAGTTGGATATAAAGGTTTTCTACCTATAAGATCATGTCATCCATAAAGAGAGATAAGTTTCCTTCTTGCCTTCCAATTTAGATGAGTTCTATTTCTTTTTCCTGCCTAGTTGTTCTGGGTAAGACTTCCAATACTATGTTGAATAGAATCATGAAAGAAGGCATCTTTGTCTTATTCCTGACCTTAGACAAAAAGATTTCAGTCTTTTACCATTCAGTGTGATACTGGCAGACTATTTTTTATTTAGGGGCTTTATTATTTTGAGGAAATCAACTATTTTTTATAATTCTATTTTCTCTCCACTACAAGCTTATTAATTATACCTCTTTTTCTAAAACTTCTTAATGGCTACCAAAGGGTAACATTATAAACATTTAATTTACCACAATCTACCCTTAAATAATGTTACATCAACTTTGCATGTCATATTAAGAACTTTACAACAGTATATTCCAATTCCTCCTTCACTTCCCTTGTTCTACTGCAGTTACACATTTGACATTTGAACATAAACTGTCCCCTGGAGTGGAGTGGACGTATCTACGTCTAACTGCCTATCAGACATCTCTATTTGTATGTTTTTACAGGCAATCTCTCAAATACAACTCTTGATTATTCTGTCTTAAATCTCCTCCTTTTTTCAAACTATCTCAGTAAATTAAGCCACTGTTCAAACTGTTACTCATGACCAAATCCTAGAAAAAAATTTGATTCTTCTGTTTCTTTCCTAGCCCATTTCCAACCCATCAGTAAATTCTATTGTTAGGAACTTTAAAATGTTAAGTTGAATCATATAAATATTCTAGTAATTTCACATGCTTCAACCTAATATATTCTGAATCGTTACAGCTCTCCATCTTGATGATTCTTGTTTAAATTGTCATCACTCTTTGCTTCAATTACTTCAAGAGACTTCAAACTGGCCTCTCAGTGTCTACTTTCACCTAGAGTTTATTCTCCCACAGCTACCAAAATGGTATGTTCAAGCCCTATCCACAAGAGTGATTGTATATGGAGACAGGGCCCGCAGGGAGGTAGTTAAGGTTAAATGAGATCTAAGAAGTGGGCCCAGAGCCAACGGGATTAGTGCTATTCTAAGAGACACCAATAAGTCTCTTTCTCTGTCATGTGAAGACATAAGAAGGCAGCCATCTGGGACCAACAGGTGGCATGGTGGTTAAGGTGCTGGTAACTCCCACATGGCAGACCACAGTTCGAGTCCTGGACCTGGTGGCTTGCTTTCTCACTTCCCCCTCCCTCTTTCTCTCTGTGTGTCTCTCTCTGTCAAATTAAAAATAAATAAAATAATAATTCTTAAAAAAAAAAAAAAAACGGCGGCAACCTGTAAGTCAGGAAGGGAGCCATCACCAGAGAGTGACTATGTCAAGGACCTTGATCTAGGACTTTTAGCCCCAACAACTGTGAGAAAATTCATTTCTTTCTCTCTTTCTCTTTTTTTAAAGCTTTTGCCATAGGGCACATGCACTTGCCAGAGACAGATAGCAAGAGGGAATTGAGAAATCACCACCTGCCCCCTCCCCCATCCCACGAGGATGGCAATGACACCTAATTGTTATCCTCTTGGGATTCTGGGCATGTGCCCACACTCTTGATGTAGGTTTCTGTTTGTTTGTTTGTTTAAAGAGATTATTGTTAGAGGGCGCATGGGCTTTCTAGAGAGACAGAAACCGAGAAGATATCCCCTAGGGGGATGGCCAAGCCACAATCCCTCTCTTCCATTCTCCTCTTGGGATTGTGGGCTTGCACACACACATATGAGCCTAGTGTGGATTTTAAGCTACTGAGACCGAGACATGAACCACAGTTGACTGGATGGGAGTCCAGCAGCATAACCATTACACCAGCTACTGGGCCCATCCTGTTGTGATTTTCAAGCCACTGGGTCTGAGACTCCCACAGTTGGTTATGTGGTTATTTAGCACCTTAACCACCATGCCGCCTGCTGGCTCCCATTTCTGTTGAAACCATACAATGTGTAGTTATTTCATAATGGCAGCCTGAGCATAAAATACAGTGAAGAATATAAAACTTACCTAATCCTCTCAATACTTAATTTTTAAAAATATGACAAGTAAATAAATATTTTAAAAATTCTACTGTTGAACAGTTTGCCACAAATAAGGAAGGAATAAATTCTTTCATTCTCAAATCTTAGCCATACTCCCTTCCAGAACACAGTTAATAGAAATATGGGGCTAGCCCATAACCTGGGAGTTAAGGGAACTGGATCACACATCGTCAACCATGTGGTTCCAGTCTTGGACCAGTGGCTTAAAAAACCTGCTGGTGTATAAAGAAGGGATTGCAGTGTGACCATGTCCCATTTTGATGGGAAACGGTCTCTTTCTCTCATGGGTGCACAAGACTTCTGGCAAAATAAAAAATATACATATAACAATAAATATTTAATGAAGATTTACTTAAGATTCTTTGTTGTTATTGCCATGTTTCAATGAATACATTACAACTTTTACTTTTAACTAAGATAGAAAACAGGTATAATTATTTGATTAAGGATGATCTATGAGGCGGCCAGCAGGTGATATGGCAGTTAAGATGTTAGGCTCCCACTTGGCCAACTGGTTTAAGCCCTGGACCTGGTGGCTTGAAAAATCATGCCAGGCATGTAAGCATGCATTCATACCCAAGATCCCAAGAGAATACAGAAAGGATTATGGTGTGGCCATCCTCCTAGGGAATGATTTCTCACTTTCCCTCTCTCTGTCTCCTTATGGTGAGCACATATACCCTATGGCAAAAAATACCTGAAAAAAAATCATGTATGACAATGTATTTCTTAGAAAAGGAACTAGTTCTTTTAAAGCACTTTATACTTAAAGATAATGCCATTTCATTCATTGCTATTTCAGTTACTTCTCCTCTTATTTGCTATTATTTTTAAACAATTTTTCTAATGTTAATTAGAATATTCTAATGCTTAATGAGAATATTTGAGACTCAGAATTACATCTTACATTCTTAAAATGAAAAGAAATCAGTGCATTTATTTAAATTTAAGAACAGTAAAGTGAAATGGGGTTTTCTTTTTGCTTAACTTTTAAATTTTATCATAAAAACATAACTCCTTAGTCATATGCTAGAATTTCCACCTATTATTTTGTGTTTCAGTGACATGTTAGTTTTTTTCACAGTGTATTATAAAGTGCCTTATCATGCAACATACTGTAGTGTTTCTGATCTGATTTTATAATTTCTGAAACTGAAACATTTTTTAAAAAAACTAAATATTTAAAGTCAAAATACTCAAGAAATAAAGTACTCAAGAAAACAAAAAAGGAAAAGCATAAGATATATTAATGAAAACAGTAGACATTCTCCTTGACTTTGTTCTACATCTGAAGCCTCCTCTCCACACAGAGTGAGGGGACAAAGGCCATGATTCTCAGAAGGAAATGACCCGTTCATGATCTCACCTGCTCAGCATGACAGCTAAGTCTAGGAGCACATGTTCCTGACTCCCACCAACGTCTGGGGACAATTCTTCCCTGCTCTATTTTCCCTTGTCACTCTTTCTACTGGGAGAAGTCACTTGAAGGCTTCTGCATGCTAGGCACAATATCTTTCAGGAAGGTTCCCTTGTCCTCTCAGTGAAGTCAATCTTTTTCTTAAAAGAAGAGAGGAGTACGCCAAACTTCTAGAAACCTAACTCCCTAGTACTGAAATGCTCAAATCTATATAGCAAAAGACAGCAAGTTAATTAAGTATATGTATTTAGTTCTGCCTAAAGGCAACAATTCATTCATTAAAAACAACACAGGCCATAAAAACTAACACAGACTTAGCTATAAACTATATGAGTAGAAGAAACCACCATGAGGTCACACCCATTACCTGAGTTGGACTCTGAAGACTTAAATCTAGCCCACAAGTAAACTCTGTATGATGTTCCACTGTTTCAAGAAGAGGGTCAGGCTTTGAAAAGTTCCAGAATCTGTGAAGATAAACAAAAGAAAGTAATTTAGGTGCTAAAACTACAAAAAAAACCCTTATAATTAGAAAAAAAAAACAGGTATTTGACATAGTAAAGATTTTACCAAAACAAGCTCAACCAATTCTTGAATACAGAGCCCCACTACTGATCTTTATAAAAAGTCTAAGGAAATATGTACTCCATCCTATTATATCAAAAGCAAAACAGAATTATTCATCAATCTAGCCTTGTAAAAGATTATTGTATTCTCATTAGTATATTTCGTAGATGGAAGCTTAACAAGCTTCAATTTTAAAAAAATTTATAGTGCACAAGGACATATGAAATGCAAGAAATTATGTATGCTTTTGTAGCAATTTCTGAAAGGGTTTATGGCTCTAAAATAAAAAACGTGGAATTAGATGAACTCCAACATTTTGTGATTTTTAAATATTACTTCATTACTGAACAACTGACATGAAAAGATTTTAGGTTTAATTTACATTTCAACAGCAATTCAAATTCTTTGAAAACAATCTGTTCTCTTATGAAAATCTCTGCAATTCTGAAACTCTCTCTTTTTCTGAGACAGTCTTTCTCATAAATTCCACATCAGTGTAATTTCTAGAGTCAAGAGGAACATAAATGTGTTTTCCCGGGCCAATATTATGTATTCTACTTAATCTCTATAGACTGGGAAGGATAATATTTACCATAATAGAGCTCTGATTTCTACTGTGCAGAGCAGAATTTGGTTCTATTTTCAATACACAAAATAGCACTTTATTTCTAAAGCCTTATTTTCTCATAACTTTTTTTATTTAATTCTAAACATACCGCAAAAATGGCACATTTAGAATCAGAGCCATACCCTAATTCAGCTTTCCTAATGATCTACAACATAGAACACTGAATGAAGCCTTAGCAGATCCCTTTGAAAGAGAGTAAATACACAGAATCTACAGTCAGTTTGTTTAACCTGGTGCTATTATTTCTCTAATAAATACAGAGTTGGCCCTATTAAGTTTTGAAAAGGATTGTTGCTATGGATAATCCACTGTGTGGGTACCAGAGAGATAGTAAATAAATAGCTTACTTATCAGATTACTAAAATCTATAGAATATTTAAGGACAGTGGTTTTACTTTTGAAAATTTGCCTGTTCAAACAAATGAGGGCCCAAATTTTAGGCCTTCTCAGAAATCCTAATTGCAGTCTCTACTGTCTTTGCATATTTGTTCCTTTGGGTCTAGAGACATTGTGCTGAAATCTAATTTTCTGGATCTTGATAATGTTTATATAAGCAGAAGAAAACATTTGATTGTGTAATTTCATTTCTAAAACATGGTTATTCACTGATTTGCATGATTTGAAACAATAATCAAATGATTTAGCATGTACCTGCTACATTCCAAAAAATATTCAAAATGGTTTTAAAAATATGCACTGAATATGGGAAAAAAAAAAAAAAAACCCATGAGTTAAAATTAAGGGTAGGAAAGTAAGTTGGAATCCGCAATGAGACAGGTAAACAAAAATACACCCCATGAAGTTGCCTGCATTCGACAGGGAGGTCTTCGAGAAAGTCATGCTTCCCAGCAGCAACAATCAGGCTCTGAACTCAGGATGTCTACAGCTAAATGTCCCCAGGAGAGCTCAGAAGGCAATTCTCCCTTGGGAATCCATAGCAGGAAATCTCATGCTTACACAATGAAGACCATCCTTAACACCTCTCAGAGATATTTCACTGGCTGCTACTTCTGAGTCTGTGGTTCTACCTCAAAAGGCAGCTTAGCAGAACTGTTCTCTGGGAGAGCCAATGGGATACAATCCAGGTATTTAGCTGTCTAACTTCATTTGGGATTTAGACTTTATTTCAGTAGAATGGATAGGCAAAGTAAGTATTCCTTATGTTAACTGTAACAATTGGTTTCTTTTCAGTAGAACTTTTTAAGGATAATTAAAAGTAACGATGACTCATTTATACCCTTCTGATAAGTTCCTGAAATGCAGTTTCTGTGACTGTTGTTTTGAGTCAGTTATTGTTGTCTGAGGTGCACCGAGGACATAGCAGTCCAGCCTGATGAAAAGTAAGATGACCAACAAGGACACGTGTGAACCCACCCAATGTCAGCCTGAAAGCATGCGAGAAGGGCTGAGATTCTACTGAGAGCCACTTGAATTTGCTCTGATATACAGCTACGCAGGCAGTTAAGGTCTCAGAGAGTTCCGTACCACCAGAGTCACAGCAGTAATAGTTTTAACTTAGAAAAAAAAAAGTATTTTGTAAACAACTCATCAAACAAAATACATGCTAAAACTCATTGGTAGAATGAGGTTTAGTCTAGTGAATAGCATAAAAGCACTACTAGCAGGACCAGCAGTTGGTGTAATGGCTATGTTGCTGGACTTCCACATAGTTGACCACAGTTCAAGTCCCAGACCCGGTGGCTTAAACTTACACCAAGCACGTGTGCATGCGTGCCCAAGATCCCAAGAGGAGAATGGAGGAGAAGGGATTGAGGTGTGGCCACCTCCCCCCGCCCCCGGGGGGTGATTTCTCACTTTCTGTCTCTGTCTTTATGGCGAGCACATGCGCTCTATAGCAAAAACCTCTTAAAAAAAAAAAAAAAAAAAGCACTACTAGCTATAGCACTACTAGCTATTACACCATTTTGTAGCTCTGACAGAAATATATAATTCACAAAGTGTATGTTATGGTACAAAAATTATGAGATGTTCATTTCCTACAGAATGGTTGACTAGCTAGGTACCTAGGACCAACATTTTTAAAACAACTAAAAACTTAGATAAGACATAAAAACAAATATCAACAACCACAAAAACTTCATAAAAGCATTAATGAGGAACACTCAGGTAAAAACTAAGTGAATCCAGGACCAGCAGTTAGCGTAATGGCTATGTCACTGGACTCCCATGTAGTCGACCACGGTTCAAGTCTCGGACCCAGTGGCTTAAACTCACGCTGGGTGTGTGTGTGTGTGTGCGTGCCCAAGATCCTGACAGGAGAATGGAGGAGAAGGGATTGCAGCGTGGCCATCCCCCCTGGGGGGTGATTTATCACCTTCTGTCTCTCTCTTTCTGGCAAGCACACATGCCCTATAGCAAACAAACAAAAACTAAGTGAATCTTGGAACAAGAGCAATAATGAAAGCCAACTTTTGCCTTGACAGGACTTGCTTCACAGGGAGAATCCAAGTTTCAAATTTCTTTTTTTTGTTGTTTTGTTTGTTTGTTTGTTTGTTTTTGTTTTTGGGGGGGTTTTTTTTGAGATGTTTTTCGCTATAGGGCGCGTGTGCTCACCAGACAGACAGAGAGAGACAGAGAGACAGAAAGCGAGAAATCACTCCCCAGGGGGGATGGCCATGCCGCAATCCATTCTCCTCTTGAGATCTTGTGCATGCACGCACACGCGCTCAGCATGAGTTTTAAGTCACTGGGTCTGGGACACGAACCGCGGTCGACTACGTGGGAGTCCAGCGACACAGCCATTACACTAACTGCTGGTCCCCAAGTTTCAAATTTCTTAATCTGAGTCAAGGGATCAGGAGCCAGGAAAAATCAGAGTTAATATACATAATCTTAAAATAATTTTCAATATGCTAAAATATCTCATAAAAATACTGCTAAATAGAATAAATTATGCAAGCTAAATAAGTTGAGAAAATCAAAAACTAAGTCATATATTGATAAATAGTCATTTAATCATTAATTGCTAATGGCTTTTTAAAAATAATTATTTTAGTTTTTTTATTCATCATTTTTTTTTATTTTGACCAGAAAGAGAGAGAGAAAGTGAGAAAACTAACTGCTAGCTGTGGGACTCAAAGTACAGTCAGCCATGTGGGAGCCCAGTACTTTAACCACCATACTACCTGCTGGCCCCTGCCAATAGCTTTTTTTTTAATTTCTTGAATTTCTTAAAATAATTACCTATTTAATTTTTGTTGTTATTATTTTTTAATTTGACCAGAGAGAAAAAGAGAGAGACAGAGGGAAAGTGAGAAAGCAAGCCGCCAGTTCCGGGACTCAAACCGCAGTCAGCCATGTGAGAGTCCAGCACCATAATCACCATGCCACCTGCGGCCCTCACTAATAGCTTTTTAATGACAAAAGAAATACATGTATTTCTTTTCTTCTTCTCACTCTCTTAACAGCAAGCATTGTTAACAGTTTGATAGGTGCACTTCCAGAGTTTTTCTATATATCTCGATTCAATTTCCAGGAAGAAGTAAATTGTAAAGAAGAGCTGACAGGAGGATAGTGGGTGTTTGCCCAGGTTTTCTCACATTTACAATTAAGGAAGTGTGCAGGTCTCCTATTGGACTCCAGAGTCCCCATAAGTGCTACGTATCTGAACCTATTACACAAGTAATATGAGCTCCTTTTTCTTGGGAGACATCAGGCTATAATATATCATTTATGTGGTCAAATAGAGCTCATCATTTTTAAGTGAAATATTTTGTTTTGGTCCAGCATATATAATACTTGGTGCCTTTTTGTCTCTTTGTTGATGAAATCACTGACTAAGTTTCCTCATAGGAAGTAAATATACTGGACAGGCCTCCAATGATTAGAAATATTACAGCACGGACATTATTCATTTAAATTGGAGATCATAATGTAATGCCATGGTTGAGTTACTTTTTGCCTTCTGACTCCCCATTCTTTTTTTTTTTTTTTCTTTTTTCAGTTTTTGCCAAAGGGTGCGTGCTCTTGTCTGAAAGAGACAGAGAGGGAAAGTGAGAGAGAAATAATCCCCCAGGGAGGATGGCTACACCGCAATCTTTTCTTCTCCAGTCTCCTCTTAAGATTTGGGGCACACATGCAGACAACCCTGTCATGATTTTCAAGCCTCTGGGTCTGGGACTTTAACCACAGTTAGCCATGTGGTTAAGGACATGGCCTTAACCTCCATGCCACCTGTTGGCCCACTCCATAATTCTTTAACAAAGCAAATATACAGCACTATATTAAATAAAACATCAAACAGATTTCAAA